GTGGATCTCTTGTGAGTTTGAGACCACCCTGATCTACTCAGTGAATTCCAGGACAGCCAGAGCTACATAGTGAGACCCTATCTCAAGCAAGCAAGCAAACAAATAAATAACACTGCAATAAGAAGTCCCACAGAGGGAAACTCCTAACATCCTTACAGGCATGCTAGTGCAGGAGAGTTTTCCTGCTACAGCGCTTCCCCCTAACAGAATCTGAGAAGTTAATAATAAAAGGTGAGCATCTCCAAGGAGCAGGACTGCGAGCAGGTCATTCAACAGGCAGAACTCAGATGCTGAGGGGCATGGGATACCCATCCAAAGATAGGCATTTCTGGAGTAGCTTTCCAATGGAAGATGGCTTTACCATTTTAACACTCACGACTCCCACCCTGCGGAATCTGACGCAGTAGCGTCGTGGTGTGGACAGCTGCCGGGGCAACTCATTCTCGTAGTGAAAGTGAACGGCCGGGAAAAAGGAAAAGCCATCAATCAAAGTCCTGTGGGTACCATCACACCAGTGACTTCAGGTTCCTCCATATTCTGTCTATATGTCCCAGCTTTATGTAGTAATTGTGCATGGTGACGTCACATAGAGATGTACTGTGTGAAATTGTTTCTCAAGATCCCAAAGCTGTTGGTGTTTCTGTCCCTGCTGCCAACATCCCCGAGGAGAGCCCTACCATGACAGTGGGCAGAATGGAAGCAGTGACCTCACACTGCTGTGGGAGCCTGCTCATCAATCCTTCATCACTTCATTCATTAACTCAGCACATCCATCAAATGCTTGCTGGTCCCTTCTGGGACAGGGACTGGGGCATTCAGGCTGTTCTGAGACATTCTTGGACTTGGTTGTTCCTGCACATACCATGTCCCACAACCTCCACCTAGTTTCCATATGTTCCAAAATGCCTACAGCTCTAAACAGCACCATGGAGCACAGTTGATGGCTCCCTGGTGATGACCCTAAGCATCCTTAGACCCTGGAGCTCAGGGAGATTCCTGATCACTGCTCAGACAAGAGGTCTGTCCCCAGAAGCTTCCAAAGCAGCAGCACTGGGAGACTCAAAGTCCCTGCATTTCTCACTGTCCAGATTTGAGCATCATAGAGACCTTCATGCCCATGTCCACATCTCTTGTCCACAGGCCGAGACTTGTTTCAATGAATTGTTGGTAAGATAGGGCTTGTGGAGGGTCCCCTGGGGTCAGGGCCAGTTCCTGGAAGTGGAGAGTTGTCCTCTAGAAACAGTAATGGACATTCTGGTGTGGGACAATTCTATATTCTGTCAATTATGTTCTAAATGAACACTGATTGGCCAGTAGCCAGGCAGGAAGTATAGGCGGGACAACCAGACAGGAAGTAGAGGCGGGTCAAACAGGAGAATTCTGGGAAGAAGGAAGTTCCTTTGGGAGTCCTGCCCAGACACCAAAGAAAGTAGATTTGACTTGCCCTGCCAAGAAAGGTACTGAGTCATGTGGCTAGCATAGATAAGAATAATGGGTTAATATAAGTTATAGGAGTTAATTAGAAGCCTGAGCTAATGGGCCAATCAGTTTATCATTAATATAGACCTCTGTGTAATTTCTTTGGGTCTTACCGGCTGTGGGAACTGGGCAGGACAGAAACCCCCACAAGCAGGCCATCATGTTACAGGCATTCCATTGCTCACAGGACCCCTGTGAGACGAAGGGTTAGCCTTTGTCTCTGTCAGCCTGTGTCTGGCCTCAGTCTGTGGGTTTGCTCTGACAGGCTCACACACCTAGGCCACACAGCCAGGCACAGCTACAGAAGAAAAACACATCAGCCCCACCCCCAGAACATCCTAGACATAGGCCCAGCTGCAAAGGGCCACACACAGGCCGCTCCATTTCCTTCTTTGCTGGAAGCAAAGGACCCTGCAAGGGTGACTCTCATGTGTCTATATGACTGAGCTACAGGCCCCCAACACTGGTTCCCACATGAGGCTGGGTGTTACTGGGCAGGCCTTTTCAGGGATTAACATCTATGTCCATAGACTCAAAGTAGATTTTCCTGCAGGCCTGCCTCATGTTGGTTCATTTCTGTAAAGAACTCTGAGTCCTCTAGACCCTGAATTAAAGCCCAGTTTTCAGGGCACTGCTGGGGTGATGTAAAACAGCACTGTGCCAGGAGGTGGTGGCGCATGCTTTTAATACCAGTCCTTGGGAAGCAGAGACAGGCGGATCTCTGTGAGTTCAAGGTCAGCCTGGTCTACAGAAGGAATTCCAGAACAGCCAGACTTGTGACACTGAGAAATCCTGTCTCAGGAAACAAAACAAAACAAACAAAAACAGCTTTGTGAGGCTGAGCTTCCTATTTAACCTGATCCTGAGACAGCCAAAGGGCTTCCGTGCCTTTCTCTTTCCCTATAAGCACCAAGCAGTGGTGGGTCCCAACCTTCTCGGATCCTACAGAGACCATCTGAGTACTGGCTGGTCGTGGATGTCGGTGTTCACAGGGATCCAGGGGAGACCTAGCAGAAGGTCTCCTTGATGCTAGGACTGTGAGTAGCCCAGATGCTATGTCTTCTAGGAAGGGAGGAGGCCATCAGGGTACACACCGAGCAGGACCCAGGCTAGGACCTGATCTGATCTCAGCACATCGCCTATTTTTTTTAAGATTTACTTATTTATTCATTCATTTATTTTATATATATGAGTGCTCTATCTGCACGTATGCCTTTGTGCCAGAAGAGGGCATTAGATCCCACTAGAGATGGTTGTGAGCCACCGTGTGGTTGCTGGGAATTGGAAGGGCAGCCTGTGCCCTTAACCACTGAACCATCTCTCCAGCCCTACACATCACCTCTTGGGGCCAACTCTTTACCAAGGAATCATTTGCTGGATGATGATGAGGGCCCTGACTCTAGCTTTATGTTAGAATTTAGTCACCAACCTGCTCTCTGCTCTAGGAGAAGTTCCTGAAGAAAGGACTAGAAGACTTCACCTGCTTGGACCTCAGAGTGGCCTTACCTTCATCTGTTCCTCACCTAAGACTCCAAGCAAATCCTGTCAGACCTACTATGTGTGAGATTCACATATAGAGGCAAGGCCTGAACTCCAGCCAGCAGAGACACCTACTTCATAGAGCCAGCAGGGCTCAGCAGCCATCCAGCCACCCAGCACACCCGGGCCACCCATGTCAGCTTGGCTGCTGCCTCCCACTGTCAAAGTGTCACAGAGACCCCTCCACAGGGCCTGGGGGTTGCTCGGACCCATGGGATCTGGGAGGGAACTAGCGTTCCCACTTGAGGTCCCGTTCATGCAAAAGAGAACGGAGGCTGGACACAGCTAGCGCTGGGCTGACTGCCTGCAGGAATCTTCTGAACATCACTCAAGGGTGCCCAGCATCCAGGCAGAGGGCATCCTGAGCTTGGTTTTCTCAGAGGCTAGAACTGTAACCTTGGGTGACAGAGTCCACTTGAGAGTGTTTGGGAGCCCCGACTGACACAGCTTCAGGCAGGACTGAGAGTCAAGGCCAAAAGGGGAGGAATTTAAAGGTAGAGGCTGATCCAGGACCTGCTCCTCCCCACAGAGTCACCCCACTGGGGCTCCATGCAGCCCCACCCACACAATTAGCCCCTCCCACAGCCCTGCCACCCGCAGAGAGCCACCTATGCCTGAGTGACAAAGCTGGAGCTAGTGGGAGCCGCGGTTGCCTCCATCACTCCATCCTCCGGGGAGTGAGTTTTCAGTCACTGTTCAGTGCAGACGGTTGGAGTTTGCAAAGCCAACCCTCTCATTTCAGAGTCCAGCGGCCTGCACAGCCCACACCCTTTCTATACAGAAAGCAGAATGATTCCTATCAAGCCCTATATCGAAGATAGCCCCCATGCAGAACTTCCTGTAAAGGGCAATTGTATGACTCTTCCGCCCACACAATCCCAGAGTGACTGCAGTTCACCCCGGCGGCAGAATGCATGCCTTTGACAAGACGGTATCCACATACTTCAACAGAGAAAACCGGAGCTGTTGGGGAAGGGTGGAGATAGGAAGTTTGAACCTCTGCAGCCCCATCTAACCTTCAGGGCCTGCTCACTTGACTCCTGCTTTGGCAGAGGCCCCTGGGCCTGACTCTCGGTTATAGCAGATATCAACGATCGCTTATCAACTCATCCACTGCTGGATACAGAGTAGAGTGGGTGTCTGCCACCTGAGACCCAAGCTCATGGAATCCACCTCACAGAGCCAGCCAGCCCCTCAGCAGTTATAACCCACCCCGCCCTCTGTCCCCACTCCCCACCCCTTGTCCCCAAGCCTATCTCGTAGGGCTGGGCCCCACAGGCATCCATTACTGCCGCTGTCTGGGATGTGGCCCTGTGGTTCCTAGCCCCAGGCCTGGTCACTACAGTGTGTGGGATTGTTGGGCAGAGGACTTCCTCATTGGTTGGTATGCTGTGGGCTAGGCTGGGCGTTTGTAGCCCAGGTCCCAGAGACTTGCGGGGCAGTCTGAAAAGTCCTTTTCTAAGACACAAAGATCTCAAGGCCCTCACTATAAGGCAGACAGGCAACAACGGATGTCTCAGCAGCTCTTTCTCCCGTTTGTTGCCTTCGATCTGGCAAGTCACCTCCATGACCACAGGCATCTACTTCCATCCATAGCGGGTAGGTGACGGCCCACATCCCCTTAACTCCACAGCTTGCTTCGTCCTCCCTGCCGTCATAGCTGCCTTCCTCAGCCCCAGGCACCGGGGCACCATCGCAGACAGGGAATCAACTCAGTCCTCTGCCGGCTGACCCACACCCGGTTATAGGAGTTCCTAGGGCTTCTGTGACTCTGCCCCAGGGTGGCACCACACCTCCCTCCAGTGGACATCAGTCAGGAGGGTCTGGATACCCAGAAATCATAAAGAAAAGGTCTCAAGACCTTTTCCTGCGAGATACCCCCAGCTAGGGACACAGATGGGCCGCCAGCGCCTGTTGTAGGGCTGGAGAAGTGAAGAGGAATTCTGAGGGAAAAGCCCAGCACAGGGGCCCTGCACTCACCGCTCTTGGTTCCTGGAGGCCTCCACTCAGTGGGTCTGGCTGACTGACAATGTCTGCTCGCTCCCTGCCAGCTGGCTCTGCAGCGGTGTCTAGAGAACACAGTCACTGAGGCCCCAGCCTGATGCTTCCTGTTGTAAGTAAGCACCCAAGAGGAAGTAGGGTGACAATGCTGCTCCTTGGCCCACATGTGGGTTTCACCCCAGCCCCCTGACAAGCGGGGAGTCAGGGAAGAGACACCGAGAGAGGGAGGAACCTGCAAGTGATGGCAAGCTTTGTAGCGAGAGAGGAGGGGTTCCTGGGGGAGGCAACGGTCATTGATGGCACTGGGGGGTTCTCGATCGAGCATGTCGAGAAGAGGTAGGAACTCAGGGACCCGTGAGCAGAGGCTGACTGCGTGGGTCCTCATTCAGAGAGAGAGAGAGACACACACACACAGAGAGAGAGAGAGAGAGAGAGAAAGAGAGAGAGAGACACCCAGCGACAGGTGTGCAGGCTGAGGCGGCAGTCTCCTGAAGGAAGCAGGGAGGAAGGAGGCTGGGAGAAGGTTCCTGGGGGGGCGGGGGATTGGTACAGAGGGACTCAAATCACTAAGTCCAGGGTGGACAAAACCCCACATGACAACTTGCAAGAGTAGAGGGGGCAGAAAGAGAGACCCGGAGTGGGAACCTTAACCTAAGATTTGAGATGTTGGCCATGTTGAGAAGTCGTTAGTCTTTTTCAGCGATGATGTTTTGTGCTTACTTCTCACTGTCTCCCTCTTAAGAGTTTGAAATGCTTGAGATGATATGATAACATTTCAGATTTTCTTCCTTGTGATCGGGGTAGGAGTTGGAGATGGGCGTGAATACAGGACCGGCTGGACGTAAGTCGGCCTCAGTAAAGGAGTGGGGACCAAAGACCGCAGTGTTCACATTCTACCCTTTCTGCCTGTGATATAGTCGGTAGAATTTTCAAAGATATAGTTTCATGGGGATAAAGCTATTGAATGGGACAGTTTCAGGGTTGCCGGATGTCCTGGGGATGATGGTTGCTAGGGTTACAAGAAGACGAAGCTAACACCCCTGAACTTTTATGTGTATTTTCTCACAGCTGAAAAAATGTGAGAAAGATGATATCAGACTAACTTAAGAAACAGCGCTGGAAAGTAGGTGCAAAGGTTCACACTTGAGACCAGCATTTCGGAGGCCGAGGCGGAAGGACTGCTGTGGGTTCAAGACCAGTCAGGCAATACTGTAAGAGCCTACCTCAAAGAGGATTGAAGACTAAAGCAAGGAATGGAAGATCTACGTATCCTTGTAGAAGATACTAATACTACCCAGAAAGATCAAGAAAGTCTAATCCAGAGGTCAGAGAAACAGCTCAGAGGGTAAAGGGCTGGCTGCACAGGATTAGGACCTGAGCTCGCCTCCCCAGAAGCCACATGTAAAGCTGGGTGTGACTGTGTGCATCTCTGACTCTAGAGCTGCGCGTGTAGACAGTAGGATCTTTGGGGCTCACTGGTCGGCCAGCCTAGCTAATGGGTGAGCTCCAGGTTCAGTAAAGAAACCCTATCTCAAAAAATAAGATGGAGGCCCATCGCGGACGACATCAGATACCAACCTCTGGCTTCCACTGGGGCGTGCATGCATGAGCAGGCTCTCTCACAAATGTACAAACACGGACACACTTCACATCACGCACACAGACCCCACGATCTTAGATCTTACGAAATATGCAGTGAAAACTGATACATGAGCTAACTGATGGAGCTGCAGACCTGCAGGCCTCTTTAGCGCGGTGTCAGTGGCTGTTCTCATCCCTGACATCAATACCTGACGAGGAGAAATGAAAGGGAGCGAGGATTCATTCTGGCTCAGGGGATATGGCTACCTTGGTAGGGGAAGGCTTGGGGGCAGGACAGACTCCTGCCTGTGGTGAGTGTGGGGGATGAGAGCAGACTCACTGTGGCAGATTGGAAAGTGAAGGGGAACGTAGCTTCAGTAGTTCAACCTTCCCTTTTTTTAAAAAAGTCAAATTTTATTTTATTTTAAATTGTATTTATTTGGGGGGATGGAGAGATGACACAGCGATTAAGAGCACTGGCTGCTCTTCCAGAGGGTCCTGAGTTCGGTTCCCAGCAACCACATGGTGACTCACAGCCATCTATATTGAGATCTGGTGCGCTCTCCTGGCCTGCAGACATACAAAACACTCTATACATAAGAAATACACAAATCTTTAAAAAATAAAAATTATGTTTATTTATCTATCTATTAATTTTGTTGTTGTTTTGAGACAAGGTCTCTCTATTTAGCCCTGGCTGTCTTGGAACTCTCTAAGTACATCAATCTGGTCTCAAACTCAAAGAGATCTGCCTGCCTCCACCTCTGGAGTGCTAGGATTAAAGGTGTGTATCACCATGCTCAGATTTTTTTTTTTAAAAAATGTGTTTGTGTGGATGTTTGTGTGTGGGTGCAGCTGGAGGTCAGAAGAGGGCGTTGGGTCCTACCTCAGCCCACAGGATGGTACTGCCCACCTTCATCTCAAAACTCCTTTACAGAAATACCCAAAAGACTGTTTCACTAATTCTTCCAGTATTTCTTAATCCCTAATTTAGATGATATCAAAATTAACCATCATAAATGTGACTCAGAAAGACAAGTTAAGGGCTGGAGAGATGGCTCAGAGGTTAAGAGCATTGCCTGCTCTTCCAAAGGTCCTGAGTTCAATTCTCAGCAACCACATGGTAACTCACAACCATCTGTAATGGGGTCTGGTGCCCTCTTCTGACCTGCAGGTATATACACAGACAGAATATTGTATACATAATAAATAAATAAATATTTTAAAAAAGAAAGACAAGTTAAATAGAACGGAAATTGTGCTGTGAAATGTTTGAAGGAATATTCTCTCAACTTGCACACAAATGCTGGGGAATATTACTTTCAGGTGTGTGACTTTTGTTTATGTTGCATTTGTTTAACCCTGTGAAGCTATGTTACTGTGCTTGTCTAAAACACCTGATGGTCCTAATAAAGAGACGAACGGCCAATAGCGAGACAGGAGCAAGGATAGGCAGGGCTGGCAGGCAGAGAGAATAAATAGGAGAAATCTGGGCGGAGAAGGAACAAGAGAACAAGGGCAAGAGGACATCAGGGGCAGCCACCCAGCCACACAGCAAGTAATGGAGATAGAAGCAAAGAAAGGGATACAGAAATAGAGAAAGATAAAGGCCCAGAGGAATAATATAAGTTAAGAAAAACTGGCAAGAAACAAGGTCGAGCATTCATAGGCAATAATAAGCCTCCGTGTGTGTGATTTATTTAGGAGCTGGGTGGCGGGTCCCCCCTCAAAATGCCAAAAGAGTAAAAGTAACACAATACACAATAATGTTAAAATATTGGGGATCACTTGCTGAGCCACAAAGCAAGCCTCAGTGTAGTCTAAAACTCAGAAACAATGAAGAAGTCAAAATTAACTATGAAGGGAGACTATGAAAGGAGAAGGCTAGAACCCTGCCAAGCTGTGGAGAAATCCCCCAGTGAGAAACCCATCCCACCTCCACGATGGGCTAATAATGGGGTCACAATGCTGGTCACATGGTGCAGCTCAAAACTGCAAGGGGCTGAGTGAGGGCTCAGCAGTTAAGAGCTTTGTCTGCTCTCGCAGAGGACTGGAGTTTGGTTCTCGACACCCACACCAGGCAACTCACAACCAGCTGTAACTCCAGCTCCGGGCGATTGAAGGCTCTTTTTCTGGCTTTCTCAAACATATGTATACTTAAGACTCATAAAGAGAAAACTTTTATAAAAAAAAAACACAATGGTGGGAGTCTTCTCAAAGGCAAGTTTCACAGCAAACAGGGGAAAGAAGCTCACTTTATGCAAATGATCTGATCATCTGCTTCTTGGAAAGAAGTGTACAAGTCGCCGACCAATATGGAAAAATATTAAACATCCCTAGACGATGGGGGGGGATGCAAATCAAAGCTACAGAAGAGGGCGGTCCTCTCGCCCCAGGCAATGGCAGATGCCGTGAGGGTTTGGCGTGGGAGGGGCTCCTATGAACTTCTGGTAGGGATGCTGATTACCATGTCCAGTATGGAGAACCAGATTGAACTTCCTCAAAAAACCACAAATAGAACCACCATCTGAACTGATATTCTTTGGGTAGATAGCTTAATGGTAGGAAATTAGTGTGCTGACGGACCTCTGCACTATCCACTAGAGCCATAAAGGAGAATCAAACTTGGAATCCATTGGTGGATGAATGGGTAAAAAATATATGGCACATAGAAGAGGATCCTACCATTTATAGGAACATTGATGAGGAGAGAGGTTATTATGTTAAGTGAAATAAATCAGACAACACACACACATACACACACATGCACACACACACACACACACACACACACACACACAGGGCACCTCTTGTTTCTCGATTATACAGGGAAGCTTAAAAGTTGTTCTCGAAGTAGAGAGCAAATCTGGGCATGAGGACTTAAGCCTATAGTCCTATCATTTGAGAGGCTAAGGCAGGAGGATTGCCAGCCTTGGCTACCTAGTGAGCTCCAGGCTAGCATGGGCTACAGCATGAGACTGTCTCAAACAAACAAAACAAAAAAGAAAGTAAAGGATAGAAAAGCAGTCAGCACAGGCTGAGGTGGGTGTGCGTGGGTGGGGAAAGGATGGCTATTACAGAGCTGGGCTGGTTCTCAGCATTTTGGGGAGAAGGGTGTCTCCATATCTCATTCGAAGTGGCAAAATATCCCTGCTGAGTAGACAGTAAAATGCTCAGTGTGTGAACTGCCACCCCCTATAGCAGCCATGACACTTACTGTGTTCTGATAAAATGACTGACAGAAAGCTACCTAAGGAGGAAGGGTTTGTTTTGGTTCACAGTTTAAGAAGGGACACGATCCATTGAGACAAGGGAGGCATGACAGCGGCGGCAGGAGTGTGAGCGTCTGATCGCATGGCACCCATAGTCAGGAGGCAGAGATGAATGCTGGTGCTCAGCTCACTTTCACCTTTCCATTCAGTCCAGGACTCCAGCTCGTGGGCTGGTGCCTCTTATATTCAGGCTGGGTCTTCTCCATCCCCAGCTGAGTCTGAAAAGCCACTCACAGACACACTGCCGTGATTCGAGTGCAATTGT